CAGGATTTTACGATGAAGTAAACAACATTGGAAACTCGGGAAAGTATAACTTAATTTTCAGTCAGTCAAACCATGAGGCCCATAGCTAAGTCTCTGCCGAAAACATTAGAATTAAAATCCACAATCTTTGAGCACAGAATAGCCTTTCTAAGACAAAATCACCTACACGAAAGACTCACGAAGCGTTTTTATGCTTGGCACAGACAGAGTCGTCTGGTAACACGAGCTCAACTACATACCTGAGATCAGCTGAGTTTTGTCTGTCGACACCTTCGGTAAACCACACAGTTAACGACTTTCGCAACGACTTTCACAAAAAAAACTCATGATATTTCCACACTTAACACGGGCGAAACATCGTCAAATCACTCCATAAAACTCGCGCTTTCTCCATATAAATCGTCACATGGAAACTTTTCTCGACTCACACAGTCGATTTATTCAGGATCCCGGATGTAAACCAGCGGTTGAAAAGGAGACATGGAGCCCCCGCGCGCCCCGCCTTCAGAACAATCTTTAAGTCTTTGGCCTGGTCAGAAATCAGCATCAATTTCTGTCTTGCCGAATAGATTTCACCCCTAGCACCTGCTTTATGAGGCCAAAGACTTTTTACTGCAACAACAAAGCTCGTAATAGCCAATAGTCTTTCCGTCTCCAGCTAGAGATCAGTCTTTCACTAGTGTAGCCCGAAATGAGACGAAATACGAGAAGATATTGGACGCAGCAGACTTTGCCAGTCGTGTTAATTGTTCCTTCATAAGCCTTAATGATGCCTTCTGAAAACTTTGCTCAAGGCAGCCAAAAAAAACCCACTAAGACAACCCACTATGAGAGTCTGAGAGCCGAGTTCAGTCTAATACGCGCGCTGATTTCAAACCGACATATAGAGAGAATTATGGGAAGTTATGAAAAAGATTTTTTTTTGGGGGGGGGGGGAGTGGTAGTTTAATAGCCAGGGGAAACTCATCAAAGTCTATCTACTGCAGCCTATTCAGTAAATATTCGGTACAAATGAAATAAGTTAAAAGTACCTATGGAAAAAAAGACTCAGTCAGAAGGTATAAGAGAGAGATTTCTATAGCCATGTTTTTGCAAATCCAGTCAGATATNGGGGGGGGGGGGAGTGGTAGTTTAATAGCCAGGGGAAACTCATCAAAGTCTATCTACTGCAGCCTATTCAGTAAATATTCGGTACAAATGAAATAAGTTAAAAGTACCTATGGAAAAAAAGACTCAGTCAGAAGGTATAAGAGAGAGATTTCTATAGCCATGTTTTTGCAAATCCAGTCAGATATATCCTCTAGTGAAACAAAAAAAAAGTTGCTCTGTTGATGAGAAGTGTCCAAATTATCTGCTTTTTGTAGAAATTTTTTAAAAAAGAGAATACTTATTCGACCCAAGAGACTGCTATTACCAATGGTTTCCTCTAGCTATATTCTCGAGTCACCACGTCGCGTCTTTGTGAGATGTCAGTTGTCGTTATCACAAATGCTCGGATGAGAAACATCATTTGTTTAATAATTGTATTATAAATCAATGATTGCTGTATCAAATTTGGTCAGACATGGTGGTCAAAACCAGGCTGCGAATAACAGCAAACGTCATCACTGATAAAGGAATCCGGGTGGGTCCTGAAAACACTGCGCTAAACTTTCAACAAATTGTTAGTGTTGAAGAATATTTTTTTCTGTATTACAACAGTAGTATGCTTAAAGTAATGGCAATGAAGCCTTTAGACTACACAAGGGTAATCTTGAAAGTTAACAATTATAACACGAAGTGCCCAGGGAACAAGGTTGTTTAAAGTAAGCTTTTCTTACAGGTACTGTGCTGTAGTTACAATCCGATTGGTAAGCTTTTCTATGAACTCTATTTCAGTTAAATGCCCAAAGCTTTCTTTAAGAAGTGGTGTGCTCGTGTCTCCTTCCAACTGCCGCTCGTCCAATCAAGCCTATGGATCAACTTGTTCCTTTTCTTGTGCCCGTGGTTACCGACTCAGCGGTCCTTCATCAACTCAGTGCGGGAAGGGTGGGGTCTGGAACCAAAGATCTAGCACTGTCAGATGTGAAGGTGAGAAGCTATTAATGACATGGTGTGCCCAATATAATAAAGTTACAATTAAAACATTGCAGTTCGCTAGTAAGGTACGTGAAAGCTGATTGGAAAAGATAGTCACCACACTGAAGGCCGATTCTAACAGTTTTTTTAATTTTTTTTTTATAGTTTTTACCCTTGGACGTACACGCAAATTCATACCCCCACCGTGGTACAAGGGGGCGGAGGGGGGGGGGGGGGATTGAGNTTTTATGAATAATGGCGTTGCTGTTGGCTTGTGACGTCATCAACAATGAACAACAATCAGGTTACAACCACGATAAATGGGTATTTTTTGGTGCTTGACATTTAAAAGAACATAAATAACTAAAATTAAGCACTTTGCGTCATTTCATCCACAAGCTTTACTTTTATTGTTGAATGAAGTTGAGAAACATGCATTTGTACTCAAAAGTGACTTAATCACCTGCTACTTATGACGTCATATCTCGTAACCATAGAAACTGACCATCACTAAATTTGTCTCAAAATGCGCACGAGAAATAAACAAACAGCTACGGAGAACTTCAGGTGCTGATGTTTTATAGTCTACGAAAAAAAAGAATAATAATAATAATAATACAAAAAACTTCCAAGGGGAGGGTGGCTGGGGTGGCAACCACCACCTCTCCTATGTCCAAGGGTTAATTATCTCAATGGCTTTAAAGAAAATTGTACTTAATTCGCGGTTTTTAAAAAGCGAGAAAGTTAGGGAGGGAAGATAAAAATGCAGTGTTTGTCTCAGGGAACATGATCAAATGTTTGGTACGTTTCGTCTACTCTTTATAATATATAGATTTAGCCAGGGATAAAAGCTCCCATTATTAAATTCATTATTTAAATCAAACAATAAACTCAGTGTAATCCACAAATCAGTTAACTTAAGGGCAAATTCATGTGACTTTTAAGGAAAAGGCTAAGTGATTTTAGAGTGAAACATCTAACATCGAGTTGATAGCCATATAAAACACCCAAAAAATAGCAATCATCTTCGATCACATTCAAAAGCCATAATGGCTCTTGATCACAGTAGATTAGACCTGGAAAACAAATTCTTGGAAAACAAATCAGGCCAAAGTTTTTGCTTTCGACAAGTTTACTTTACAAAATCTTGCTAACAAATCCGGGGGTGTGTAAACCAACCTTTTATACTTTTTATACATCACATCTGAGGTGAAACAGTACTGTTTATCATACAGACCTCGCACAGAATGCAGTATTTCACAATTTTTCACGACAAATATTGCACTCAGTCATTATTCAGGACCATCAATTGTGGGCTTTTAGCGAAACCGTTCAAAAAATTTCCAAAATCACCTATACGGCCAGCCAGTTTTCACTTTTGATGAGCGCCAAATTTGCAGTGAACATTAGTAGAGTTACGCTTCAACATAATAAATAATTTATTATGTTTATTTTTTTTATTTAGGGTTTTATAACACGATGTGTAATCTTAAAAAAGGTTTGATACGCGCGCAATTTTGAGATAACCCCTCCAACGATGTTCATGAACGACTGAAAACGAACGGCACCGCGACTAAAATTGCAAGAGAGACTACTAACAATCACTAAAAGAAATATAATTCGTTTAAACATTTACAGAGACAACAATTTTCATTCACGAAGACAAGTATTAAAGCGTTTCTAAGAATCCTGAGTCTTAAAGTTTATGTTTTAAACCGCCCTCCCGGTGTTTGCTTTTCTCAAAGATGAACTTGAGGCAAGAAAATCGCTCAAAGTTTTCTTTCTACAGCCAAATTTATAACTAAATATTCTTCGGAATATTTGCGGTGAGAAAATATACCTAAAGGCTTTTTAAAGTTCTGCAAGTTTATATCAAACCTAGGTCAGATCATTGTCTCAAATCTTACAAACGTGCATAAAGTTGCTGCATAAACTGTGCTCGACTACATGAAATTAGATATATATATATATAAAAAAACAAACATCAAATACAAACATTGCTCAGGCTTACCATTCGAGATGCAGCTCCGGAAGGCTACCAAGTAACGCGAGAATCGCTGGAGAATTTTGAATCCTCTTTATGCGACAAGCAGGGTGAAAAACAAAAACGATGCCATCCAAAATCGGATTTCCGACTTTGACAAGCAACGGATCTCTCAACCAAAAAACTAATAAACAAATTATCCATGAATAACAGAAGACTCTTGATAGCAGCTGCATTTCATTTTGTACATTCAGTGGAAAAAGACAGTTAAAAACATCACAAGTTGACACAAAACTCTGTCAGCTTCAGCTTTCAAAGTAAACAACTTTCAAGATGCTGCATAAATTTTCCGCTTGAACTCACCTGTCAAATTTTGACCAATCAGAGCATACACATTGGATGTAGAGCGTGACCAACGCGTGACCATGGTAAGAAAAGGTCTTCCCCGCATGTTTTTTTTTAAAAAAACTGGCTGAATTTTCGCGTCTGAGGTCAGTTTGAAATCAAAATCTTAATAGTGCGTGGCCATAATGACATAAACACAACATATTTCATATAAATAAAAAAAATAAACTTGAGCCTGCGATCATTTGAAAACCAGTAGCTTGTCAGCGGATAACTTCAAAAAAGTACTCGATCTCGATGGGTCGACAGATGAGCCCGCGATACGGCCAGGTGATACTGGTCAGCGGATATCTTGTTTTGACAGCTGTCAATTGATCACAACAGTGATGTGCAATCAGTTTTCTCCTGGGCTCCCAAAGTAGTTAGAAAGTGTGAAAGTAAATATTGGTTTTCCTGTGGTGCGGACGGACGGTCGGCGGGCGGTCGGTGTACGGTCACGTGATTACCAGATTTTCAGGGATGGGTAGATTTACTAAGCTATGGGGCTCCGCCCACGCGCGCGCTTCGTGCGCGCGTGGAGCTCCGCTTTTATTGTTTATAGATATTCCGTCATTCAATCAGACTTCTTTTATTATTCAAATTAGCTATCATGTGTCCAGCTCTTACTGTCAGCAAACTTTTGCACACTTTACCATCAAGCTGTGGCTCGTCCCGGATGAAAATCAACACCAAATGCTCATTTACATGCCCACAGGGCTACCAACTAAGAGGTCCCTCTTATAAGCAATGCAGGGTTGATGGTCAGTGGTCCGACAAAGCTAAGAAGGTTTCATGCACTGGTGAGTCTTGAAATTTTGGGGCTTTTTATGATCTTGTCTTTCATATAATAATCAACGTCTGATTTCCGCAGATATTGATGAGTGTTCTTTGCCAAATAACGGCGGCTGCAGTCACAAGTGTGTTAATACTATGGGAAGCTACAAATGCCAATGTCCAGATCCGGAATTGAGCTTGTCACCAGATAACAAGACATGCCATGGTAAAATGAAAATTTTAAATGTGTGTTTATGATTTGGTAGTCAAACAAAAAGTTTTTCTTCACATTTTTTACTACAGTAACACTATAGCGCAACAAAATTGAGTTGAATTCAAAGTCAGTGACCTCACGCATTAAAAAAGCGTGGCAGGACACAACAACAGTCCTTCGCTAGCTTAAACTTATGATCAATTTTCAATTTATGTATTTTTTTATGACAAACTGATTTATATTATTTTTTTTTTAGGTTTTCAAGTAATCATTGCCAGTTTAACTCAATCTAATGTGAACCTAAATCTAGCGCTAACACGGCTTTATCTTCTACATTCATCTCATTCAAGCATTGTCATATGAGAAAAAAAATATCTTTCTGTCATTTCCTTAATTCATTTGCATCTATATTCATTTAGCTCCAGGTGTTGTTGTTCAATGCAACAGCAATAATATGACCATCATGGTTCCTAAGTCCCTTCTCCGAGGTATTGACCGTGAACATCTTCGACTCCTGGACACCAAATGCAAAGCTACAGAAACAAGTGCATACTTCTCCCTTACAACACTGCTGACCGAATGCAACACAACCCGCAGGCACACTGCGTCAACTATTGCCTATTCCAACACAGTACTGGAAATTCCAGTGGCAGCCGAAGATGTTATAACGCGTGTGCGAGAGTTAGAAATCCAGTTCAGCTGTGTTTACCCTAAACACGGAGCAGTTTCATCAGTTGGTTGGAAGCCAAACAACAGGAAACTTGTGTTCAGTGATGAAGGCAAAGGAAACTTTACGCTGTCATTGAACATGTTCCCTGATAAACGATTTGTGAGTCCTTACATGAAGGATGATTTCCCCGTTGCTGTAGTCCTGCGTAAACGCCTTTTCTTTGAGATTTCTGTAACGTCAAGTGACAGGCAGCTGTCAATCATTGCCGATCAATGCTATGCCACACCCACTCAGGATCACAAGAATCCCTTGAAATATGTGTTTATTACAAAAGGGTAACTAAAATTTTCCTACTTACCAATACCTGGTTAAAATTTACTAACACGGACCATAAACGTAAACCCCGGCCGAAAATGTTAAATAAAAAAAGTCCAACAAAACATTGAATGGCGTTGTTATCCCTTCGTGTAAATTCCTCCATAGAATTAAGGGGAGTGGTCATGTGAATGATTAGTTGGGGTTTTTCATGGGGAACCCCTTATCTTTATACCTTTTGCCTGAACATGTTTTGCCGCAATTTATTTTCATAGGCGAGAAAATGTCTTGGCTATAAGCTGTTAAAGACAGACAAGCTAAGCACGGAAACCTTAAAATTGTGTTAGGATTTTGTGCTCACTCAAATGTAGAGGTAATCGAGCAGTTGGAATAAATGAATCCTTCCAAAGTGATACATACCTTTTTTCCTTTTTATCACTGACAGATGCCCAAATGATGCTACCGTGAAGTACCATTCAACATCTTCAGTCAGTGCCCAACGGTTTAGTTTGGAAGCATTCAAGTTCATTGCTGACCACCCATTCGTCTTCGTCCACTGTCACGTCATCTTATGTAACGCAACCGAGCCAAGCTCCAAGTGCGCTAAGAAATGTCGTCAAGGTGGCCGTGGAAGGCGTGACGCAAGTGCTCAGATGACTGATGATGTGTACTCTCTGGTCCAGGGCCCCCTCCACCTCGAACGAGAGAAACGAGAGCAAAAGATCAGCGGTGCTGTGAATAAAAACGGTCAGTGAAATTTTAGTGTTAATTATTAGGTATTATTTGTTGTCTTTTTGAATGGAAAACGTATAGCTATGTATTGGAACTTTTCTCTGTTTTACATGTACATCGTAATTTTATGAGCTGCTATTTCAGAAGCTATAATATTTGTGATATGGGTTCAATCTTACTCACTTTCATAGAACATAAATGTATCCCCTGCTTTCCATACCTTGAACCCAATTCGTTAAACACGTAATATTAAATTGCTGTTTTAATTCTTACCTACACTACCTTTTTTACAGGCTGGAGCGCTTATGTAATTTTACCTCTGTTAGTGATGTGCGTGGCGTGTTTGGCAGGAAGAGCTCTGACGACATTGAAGAAGTCACGTGGCAAGCCTGTGGAGTACAAACTGCTCGCCACTGGTGATAACCAGCATTGAAAAGGCGGCTCACTGATAATAAAACTGGACTTGTCGGAATTAAAACATAAAACCAAGCCATGGGATATTCATAAGAATTATGCTTTGTTGCTGATCATAAATTTTATTATTTACTGTGTCTAGTTTTAATGCGGTAATAATATTCGTGAAAATGGCAATATCTGATTTTTTAATACTTGACACCTTATATTCGAAATTTTGGGTCGGAAAAATTGGTCAAAACTACAATCAAATCTAATCAAAAGTTAAAATTTCTTATTAATTAGGATTAAGATTTTTACGTCATTTCAAACTGTTCTTCGGATCCATGCAGCAGTGCTAGAAATTTAGTGAATTGGTTTTGTTTTCACTCCTCCTCAATGGATTGTATTTTCTTTTCCTTTTTTTTTTTCTTCATAATTTTTTCATCTCTGCTTTAATTAAAACTGTTAAAAACCAAACATAGCAAAACGTCAATTACCAGTTGCGGATTCAGGGTAGGGGTCCGGAGGGACCGCCCCCCTTTATTTTTAGACCAAACTGAGGCCCGAAAGGCCAAAAAAAAAACACAAACAAAACAAAAAAAAAGAGGACCGGGCCCCCCTTATCTGAAGGTCTGGATCCACCACTGAATACCGTTAAATTTATCGATCTCAAAGACGAAGTCAATGTGAATATCTCATGTCCGCGTGTAACATGGATGAACAAATACTGAAGAGCCCTAGGTTGATTTACAGTTACTAGCATGGAAATAGCAAGATGTGGCTTAAACAGGGTTAGTCACGATTAGATGGCTTTTTAGAATTTAAAAAATCCATCATGATTTTACTTTTATCGGAATGTCGAAAAGATCTCAATTCTAAAAGCACATGGGGGTTGTCATGATTATTAAATCTTGGTAAAAAGGACCTCTTAACTACTGTAGGGGAAACATTTTCTGTAGAGCCGCAGAAAACACATCAGGGGAAGAACATTTGGAGAAAGCACAGCAGCCAGCTGTGCTTTGGTAATTTCTTGTTAAGCTTTTAAAAAATAGATATGTGTTACATTCTGATTAAGTGTTAAGATTGCTCAATTGACAATGGAACACAAGCCCCGTCATCTATAAATATAACTACAGCAAATTAAGATGGTCATAAGATAAACATGCTAAATATTAATCATTTTGCTATAATTATGAGATCAATAAAATGCTCGGTTGCATTTCTTGCAAGCGAAATTACAAGTCTAGTCTCTTTTCCTACGCCCTATAGTTAGTGCGACAGGCTTGCGAAATGCTCGTGTCTGTTACTGCTTTAACAAGTGCAAGTACGAAAAGATTTGTATCTCAACTGATTTTCTTAAATATGAAAAAAGTTTTTCTTCGTTTTGCTTACTTAATTAGATTTTTTTGCGAGTGTGCACTTTATGCACATCAGTCAATTCCAGCCCCGCTCCCCGGGGGCTGACCCTCAGGCATTAGCATTTGTTTTGCTTGGATGGCCAGTTCCCGGGGGTGGGGACTCTTAAGCTGTCAAATTCCCCGGGGTGGGGACGAAAAGAGAGGGCAAATGCCCCGTCCTCCGTCAACACTGCAACATTTTTCATTGATTGCACAGTCGTGTAGTACCATTTTAAGCATTTTAATGTGCGATTTTTTGTTTCAATTAACGTTTTTCTTTGTAATAGTGCTGTTCTAATTAAGACTTCACGCCGTGACGAGACCAGTTTATGGTTTTAGTATTGTTATAAAGTTATTGACATTAAAATTAAAAGTGCGCTGAAAAGTTAACTGTTATGAATAGTTTTATAAATATGCCAAGGATGTTCTTCAAATAATATCATAAATTATATTCTAATAATAATATAATAATATCATCAATAATATTATTGAAATTTGATTCAATAACCAAAAAAACGTTGATTCACGTCGATAGCTCCCGATTTCGCGATGTAATTCTGGCTTGATACGCAATGAAGAAATGCATGCATAAAATTGAGAACATGCTTTTACAAACCTCTGCAATTTTTTCCTGTCCTTGTTAACAGATGAGCCAATCTGCTTGTTTTTCCACTATAAAAATCCTCTCTGTAGCTGTATCCGGATAGGAAACTGCGTGCGTGTCAAAAGTTCAGGGTTGGTCCCGGGGTTGGCAAATGCCTGGTCCCCGGGCAGCGCAAAATTTGTAAATGCCCCACCCCTGGACTGACAAGGCGTGCAAATGTCCCGCAGTAGCCCGGGGGGGGGAGGGGGGGGGGCGTGGCGCAGCTGGAATTGACTGATGCGTTAGAGAGATAAAAAGAGGCTAACTTTTGTCGCTGAAACAGTCGTG